CATCTGTCAAAATTCACCAAGTTGGATACTTAAAAAATAAGTATTTTTTTTTGTACATGAATTATACCTCAATAAAGTTGAATAAGAAACACATTTGAATCTATATTTGTGCCTTTATCATGTTGTAGTAAAATGGTCACCATTATAAGCTAGCAAGTAATCATGTCTTCTACAATGTAAATGAATTTAAGAAAAAATTACTATATATGGAGAAGTGTTAAAAAGAGATATTTAAATGAGACAAATTACTCAGACCAATATTAAAAACACATTGCTGCAGTCATTCACGCTACATAAATAAAGTAAGTCACATTCCACGTTATTTAAATGAACGGTAAGCTACTTGCATTTATACTTTTTATGCAGTTTCCCCAAATGTTGTCTCCTAAATTGCCTTGACAAGGATTCATTCTTCACAGGTACTCTGTCTGCTTTCAAAAGAATTTGAATATTTGATAATTCCTGACTAGGAACTGTTCACTGCAGATGAATCATAATACTGAAAGCTCAAGGTGTGATTTTTTTTACTCCCTCAGAGGTAAGACTTCCAAAATCTAGCGTCTATTATAGGAAAGTTTGTTCGGCAACATGTACTGTTAATCTAGAAATTTGTCATAACTCTGAGGCTTTAGTTGAACTTTTGTAGACATAAGAATGCTTAACTATAGTGTAGGAATGACATGGATGGGAACATTATCTTATCTATAATCTACATGTAATTATTATTTTTTATGCAGTTATTTTTATGTCATTATTTCTGAACAAATTTAAGAAAAAATTCATGATAACTGTTTTTCTGGAGGCTATCTTCAATTATTTTGAGCCATGTAGATTGTTTTTGTAATATTTTAAATACTTAAATCTTTTAAATATTATGCCGTTCTTATCAACAAAGATGTTTACTGCAGAAGTCATCCTATGACTTTTGAAAGGAAATGTAAGTGATTTTTTTTTCAAAGTATACACACACTCTGCTACTTTTGTCTATAAACTCAGGTAATCGAGAGCTATATTTTGCCCAACTAGAAGGGAAGAGAACTAAAAATATTATGTGCCTACTATGGCACTTTAAATGTATCATAGCATATAATTTTCACAACAACTCTCTGAACTATTATTATAATCAACCTTACAACTATTACTAGTAATACGGTTTATTGGATTTTTTTTTTTTTTTTACAACTTAAGTAGGTGGGTATTATATATAATTTGAAAAGTATAGAATCATAGAAAGAAGCAAAGCAAAATTAAATTCACAGTAGCACTACTCAAGGACAACCCCTACTGATATTTTTAAGTATAATCTCTTGGCGTTATGTATAATGCTCAAGATTTGCTTATTTATTTATGTTAAAATGGATGTGATCATATGGTTCTTTCCATTTTATATATATTTTAACTTTAATAGCATTCTTTCATGTTTTAATAAACTTTTTATTAGCATAGTTTCTGAAGGTTACATCATTTTATATCAAGTGTACTATGGTTTACATTACCCTAACCAAAAATCAAACCCGCTGCCGTCGAGTCGATTCCGACTCATAACGACGGTATAGGACAGAGTAGAACTGCCCCCGCAGGGTTTCCAAGGAGCGACTGATGGATTCGAGCTGCTGACCTTTTGATTAGCAGCCATAGCTTTTAACTACTGCACCACCAGCGCTCCAACATTACCCAGTTACCTATTATTAATATTACTTTCAATATTTAATTATTAAAGATAATGTTGTAATTGACATCTTTGTGCATTCAGCTTTATATATTTAGGACTTTTTCCTGAGGATATATTACCAGAAGTGGAATTACTGGGTAAAAATACATAAATAATTTTGTTCAAGGCAATTGTTTTGAATTCTATTTTAAAGATGTGAACTCTATTATCTGACTTTGTCTGTTGATATTATCCTAGAACCGAACACATAGGCTGACATTTGGCTAGGACTCAATATACAGCTTCTGAAAAAATGAATAAAAACATCCTAGAAGTGTGTGACAGAGATCATATCTGCTATTTATCAGCAAAAGTTGCATTTTTTGATGACAAAAGGAATGCTTTCTATTTGCCTTAGGCTTAACAAGTGTGTAAACAAAGGTTCCAGCTTCCCTTTTATGTGTTCATTTAAGCTTAATGTTGGATGTAAGAAAAGGAGACAGCTGATAACTGCCTAAAATAATTTCAGCACTGAATCAAAACAACCTTTATCTATGGACAAAATCAACACTTCTATTTGTAATATACATTTTAAAAACTACGTTTATTTTGACTGTATAATTTGGTAAAAGTTCTAAATTGTTAAATGACTTTAAAGAAATGCTATTTTACTTTTTAATCTGTAAAGCAAGCGGAAACTGGCAACCTCGTTTTAGGACAGGGAAACACAGAGAAAAACGGAAGAAGAAAGGGAGGGAAGGAGAAGAGGAAGTGTAGCAGCGAACGCTGCTTAGTAGAATTTGCCTTGGGAAAATTTCCTGCCTTAGTGAATAAAACCAAAACCGGTTGCCGAGTCAATTCCGACTCATAGCGATCCTATAGGACAGAGTAGAACTGCCCCATAGGGTTTCGAAGGCTGTAATCTTTATGGAAGCAGACTGCCACATCTTTCTCCCAGAAGTGGCTAGTGGGTTCCAACCAGGACCTTTTGGTTAGCAGGCAAGAGCTTAAACACTACACCTCCAGGGCACCTCTTTAGTGAATAGATGGGCCTAATTTAATTTTGTTGGTTTTGAAAAGTAATTTAAACATGATACTTCTAATTTTTTTACTTGAACTTGTACATCAACTTTCTAAAAATTATGTAAAGGTAAGTTAGCTTGGCTTCTGACCAAATTATCACAAAATGTACGTTGTTGTTGTTAGGTGCCGTTGAGTCGGTTCCGACTCATAGTGACCCTATGTACAACAGAACAAAATACTGCCCAGACCTGCACTGAATATAATTTTACAACATAATTTAAAAATGTCAATTACTGACGTTAATAAGCGCTAACATGTATTGAATGCAAGCATTCTTCTAAGTGCTTTATAGGTCATAATTCCTTTAATCTTTCTAAATTCATGTTATTACTATTGTTCCATGTTACAGAAGAGAAGGCTAAGGCATAGATGTATTAAATAACCTCTCTAACATGCCATAGCTAGTAAGTGATGGTACAAGATACCAATCCAGTCTTATCCCAGAACTCTTGATCTTAGCCACTAAATTATACTACCTCTCATAATATTAAAGATCTGATATTACAATGCCTGACATGGCAACTTTCTTTTTTTTGAAAAAGTGTTACTTCAAAATACTAAAAATAATTAAAAAAATTAATACTTAGTGTATATATAGCTTCCTCTAGAGGAGAAAAATGTTAAATTGATGTCTTACCATCTATAGATAGAATTGTTCCTTGGTATTTTCCCTTAAGCATCTCATATTGTTCCCTGGTAACTTTATTTACCAAAGTAATTGCGCCTGTTCTTCGATCAACAGCTAGCAGGTTGGCTGGATTAGTTCCCATTACATATCTGTATTTTAAAGAAAACAATACAAATTAATGTCAGTTACCTAAAAAAAAAAAATGTTTTCATTATAAAATGTATTTTTCAATCAGTATTTGTAACCCTTGGATATAGTTTTCAATTAGTAGAGACTCCCCCCCGCCCCCCCCCCCCCGCCCCGAGAGTAGTCTCAGCTGTTTGGAATCTTTTAGAGGTTGACAACAATTTAAATGTAAGAAAACAGAACTACTGAGCAGTGATTTCTGCTGGAATGTCTTTTTAGGCCTACTGGGATGTCAGGATAATCCTTTGATGCTTTTAGTCTCATTTTCATCTGATTTTGGTAGCATCAGAACTTTGCTGGAAGACCAGACCCTGGGAATTCCTGGGCTGCTCCTAACTCTAAACTATTCTCTTACGAAACAAGTTACTTCTTCAGCATCTTGACTTCCACCCGCTCCCTGTTTCCACTCCTCCTGGCTGCATACACACTGATTTTACAGGACTGCTTTTAAATCTCAAACTGTGCCTCGACTCTCTTCTCTTTCTCTATTCTCTTTTCCTCCTCATCTTTGACTTCATTGTTTTCCTTCTCATTCACATAAAGTGTTAAACAAACACTTGTTAGACAACTCTTCTGTCTCAGGCACTGTGCTAAGCTCAAGAAATGAAACTTGGAAGAAGGGGAGGTGTGGTCCCTGCCCTCTGTGAGCTCACACCTGTGGGGCGCATGTCAGCTAATCAGTAATGGTGGTACAGCGTGGTAAGAGCTATAATGAAAGTATTACATGGTGCAACTAGAACACAAAGAACTTTTAAAACACATTTATGTGGTTCCCCCTCTGAGTTCACGGTTATTCTTGGTCACAAGCACATGTGGGAACACATGTACACATACACACACATTTTCATGATCAAGTAGAAATCTTTGCATATGGAGAGTTTTAAAATTATATAACATAATTTATCCTTAATATAACTAATTTTCATACCAAAGTTAATGAACAATATTAAGTGGAATTAAAGTGTAGAAAACAACCGAAGTGATCTAACGAAATCTAATTGATTCCAAGCTGGGCAAATTTGCAGTGGGAAATCCCATAAAATATTCCAGGGGGAATAACCATGGCATGTGGTGATCAGCAAATTGATCAATAAAATATTTAAAACACAGGAGTGTCAAAACTTTCAAGGTGTAGTATTTTCACATTTTACAGCTTTACAGTTTTATACCTTTACATTTTACATCTTAAACCTTGCGTACAGTGTTATATTTTCTTCACTTAAACACTAAACTAAGTAATAAATAATTCCATAGTTAGTACTTTTTACAATTGAACTACGGTTTCAAAAATAAGGAGAAGTATTTTAATTCAGATACTTAACTTTTCTAAAAAGAACATAATGTATTTAAGTTCAATATGTGTTGAAAATTAGTTAGAACACGTCCGTCTTACCTGACAGTTGTTGAAGCCAGACCTGTGTCCAGGTCGATAGCTACGAATTCTCCCACTCTATGATTTTGTCCCATATCACTAGTTACGGCGTATGTCTTTGAACCTGGACGGAACACTGAGCCTTCTATTACGTTTACCACTGCCACTGAGACTGCAGTTGCTGTGAGTTTATATTGAGACATAATTGAATGATGGAATTCGGCTTTGTTTCTGACAGCAAGACTAAGTTGCACATTCTGCATTTCTTCATAATCTAGGGGCTAGAAAGTAAAGAGTGAAGTATTTTTAAAAGAAAGAAAACACTCCAGAGAAAGAGAAGTCCTTTGAAAATGGTAAAAAAAACAAACAAAAAAAAAAACAAAACTTACTTCCTGTTTCTTTAATTAAATATAAATTCTTAGAAACAATCTATTCTTATTTTATCTTTAATTCAATATAAAACAAGCAAACAACAAAAACAAACCCAATGCTGTTGAGTCAATTCCGACCTCTAGCGACCCTATAGGACAGAGTAGGACTGCCCCATAGGGTTTCCAAGGAGCAGCCGGTAGATTCAAACTGCTGACCTTTTGGTTAGCAGCCAAGCTCTTAACCACTGCGCCACCAGGGCCCCAACTGAAAACAGAATGGTTGAATAATTTTCTAATGTAACATAGCAGTTTGGGCTGAAATGGATTATGACCCAGGTTCCCCAGTTGGAATCATAGATGGTATTGTGGAAAGAATGTGAACTTCTTAGCTAGAGAAACCTAGGTGTCAGTTGTACCATTTAACTGGCTCTAAGACCTTGAGCTGGTTATGTACTCTCTCTGGGTCTTGATGTCTTTATTTTCAATATGGGCATGGTATAACTTAGTTTGCAAGGATGCTGTGAGGGGTAGATTAAAGCATCTGCCCACTGCCTCAGCAAATGGAAGCTACATGCACAACGACACTTTATGAAGACATATGAGCTAGAATCGACTCAGACAGCAGCTAATAACAATGAGTCAAATGAGTACACATTCCTGTGGAGACAGATGTCCTTAGGAATCTGTTTCCCAGGGCTGTTCTGAAAGAAGGAAATCTTTTAAGAGGGATTACATTTTACCACAAAGAATATATATTGCATGGGCCAGGTACAATCCATGCACAGTTATTGCAGGTTTTAAAGAAAAATCTACAAGTCTTGCAGCACAGTGAGAAACCTTCACCATCAGCTCCCTAGGAGTCAGACATTTTTCTCACACCTCAGAGGAAATTCTACTGCAGGTAAATGGGGTGTTTCATAAATAGAGGGCCAACGTAGGACAACTCTGTTGACTGAGACCAAATCTCTGGTATATTTATGTTCTTTATAAGCATTGGTCAGCAGTCACAGTGACATGGGAATGCAATAATCCTAAAATTACAGTAATTTAATCTTAATTTTATAAAAACACAATGGAGTAATAAACTTTTAATGTATTTGATGAATATTCTTGGTACATAATAGTTGACTTACAGTGTTGACATGGACACATTTTTTAAGCTTATGTAAATCTGTTTTTAATAAAGGATTCTTAAAACATTTAAAACAAAACTTTAAGAATTAATTATAATTTCTTTGTTGTAAACATAAAATCAGATTCTTGTTCTAAAATACTTTCAATTTATTTGATCTTCCAGGGACTACTGTATTGACAGAAAAGAGTTTTAAATTCAATGCCTGTTTTCCTGAAATTATACATATAAAAGGCTGTATATAAAAAAGCTCTATATCAGGCATCATTTTAAAGCATAGTAGTTTTTATTCTTTCGCTGACTCAAATTTGCGCAATATTAACATTTTATTTTAAAAATAACATTTCAAAAAAAAGATCAAGAAAACAGAAGATTTAGGATAATTATACTATACCTTAACAACCTTTAAAATTCCCACATTTGTTCTTTCATCCATTTCTATTTCAAACCAATTTCCCTCATTTCCAGAGACAAAGAAAATTACTGCTATCCAGTTAGCTGAGTACTCCTCATCCAAATCAATTACTCTAATCCGGAGCAGTTCTGAATGTAGAGCATTTTCTTCAATGCTTATGGAATACTGAAATGAGAAGTAAAAAATTTTAACATAAACTGTGTGAGTGAGAGAAGAACTATACCAGACTTACACTAAAGTATTTATAGTTATTTGTCATTTAAAAAAGAGATTGGTGTTTATAGTCTCATTTTCATTGTTCAAACCATTTCCCCCTTAAACATTATATAAACTAACACAAGTAGAAGAATATGCCTACATGTGGACTGTATGTGATTAAAGATACATCTGTAAATAGGATTTTTTTTTTTTTCGCCATTTCAAAAATTTTGTTTTACATACACATTTAAGTGACATTGACTACGCTCTTCTAATTGTGCTGTTATTCTCACTTAAGATGAAGGCTTACAGGACAAAATAGTCTC